GAGCTTGGTAAAACCAGCCAGCCAGATGGATAGATAGAGCTAACAAAGCAAGGGGGGTGTCTAGGATGACCCCTCCCTGCTCTTCTAGCTGCCAGAGGTGCCCTCGTGCCAGCCTATCCTGGTGAGATCCCCAACACACACACACACACACAGTGACAGACACACTACCCACGAAGCCGCTACTGAGGATGAAAAAACAGAGCAAGCCCCAGAGACCAGCAGCTCCGCCTGAAAACGCGGGCAGGATGCAGAGGCACAGCACTCTGTAAGCCCCAGTGCCCCTGGCATCTGTGCCCTGCTATTTGCATAAGTAAATGGCAGCTCATTAAGGAACACATTAGCAGTGTTATAACCATGTAAGGGAAGCAACCTCCTGAACTCTAAGCCACCGGAGAGTTCTCTGACTCAGTTCTACATCCTTGGAGGCACGAAGCAGGCACTATCATCTACCGACTATCTGTCCAGCTGCACGGGAAAGGAACAGACGTTTATGGAAACACAGGAGAGAATTAATAAATATTTGTTAAATGGCGAATGATAGGCCACACTCAAAAGAGCAAATCTTACTAAAAATAGGACAACGTTTGGCGCAAACTGGTTGGGGGAGGCCTTTCTCTCCGTGTCCACAGCAGGCTTGAGGACAGCGGTTACAAGTCGAAGTCACGAATCAAGCTGTCACCTTTTCACACAGGTCACTACACAATGGCCCTGGTTCAAGAGGTCTACGGCAGGGCTCAGGAATCCAGAGTTTAAAATACGTGTGGGGATTCTTATTTGCTGCCCTGTTTAGAACAATTTCTCTTGAGTCTTCTTACTGTGGAAATCCAACCCAGGCATCTCCTGGGAATTTGTTCAAGATGCAAAAATCTCAGACCTTTCACAGACCAAGAGACCTGGGGGCTAGGGATGTAGCTCAATAATAGAGCATCTGACTTGCCTAGTTTATAGAAGGTGCCATGTTCAACCTCCAGTGCGAGGGAGAATGGAGGGGCACGTGAGTGCTGGTCCTTCTTTGAGGGGTCTGTTAGAGCTGCCTGTGAGCCAGGGGCATCCTCTGGCAACCAAGCAGTTTCCTGTCTGAGTCCCGGAACTGGGTGACCTTTCCACTGGATGTGCAGTCCTTTAGTCTCGGGTTCAAATCCCCACATCTACAGGGCACAGATGATGTACTCAATGGCCTCCCAAGGCCTGGGCAGACTTCTAGGATTTAGAATCCCAGGACCCTTGAAGGCCCGCAGCAGCATTATGGGGCAAGTCAACACTATGACTCAAGTCCCCCTGGCCTACTCTAACATTTGAACCCTGAACAAGGACTATCCTCAGGGACACAAACTGTGATGCTGGGAAGGACTTGAACTTCATTTTCTGCCTCAGTGCATTCCCTGCAAGGTGGACAGGAAGAGAGGAAGCACAGGGCTCCTAAAGCTCAACCCGGCCAGCAAGCCGAGACCATTGCACACCCATCTCCAGCGCCCAGGGGCTGCCAACCCCCTCGCGATTCTAAACAGGCTCCTGGGGGTTACCACTAATGCCTCTGGCCAAGTGAAATGAGGCAGGCCTGTGTCTGCCAGGGAAGCACACCAGCCCTACCTCAGGCCTCCGTACCCAGCCATTAGGGTAATCACCAGTTTCCTGAAGTGCTAGCTCTCCTCACCCCCAGGCAGTGCCAAGCTCTGCTCTAAAGGATCAGGACTCGGCCAGGGAGCAGTTTCTAAATATGCAGAGACAGGAGGCAGGAAGGCTCCTGAAACCATGCAAGTGCCAATTGTAGGGTATTTTTAGCCCCAATTCCTATGGAAAGACAGCTCATGAAATCCTACTCTGTCAGCATCCCTTCCTCCCCTGTCCCGGGAGGAATGGGGTTGCCTTGGTAACCCAACAACATGGATCCACTGCTTAGGGGGACACCTGTAACCCGCCCACGGGTATCAGGGAGAGGTACCCAGGGATGTTCTCACCTGTAGACACTAGACTCCTTTGCCTAGACAGAGCTCCCAGAGAAGCCCCACCCCACCCCCACCCCACCCCCAAAAGGCTTAGGCGTCCAGGAAGCCCATGCTGATGTCACAGTAGGACCCAAGGGCAGACCTTGGGACTTTGGGTTTTCAAAGATGTCTAAGCCATCATGAAAACAACACACAGGGCCTGCTTCAGCTCGGGTCTTTAAATTTTCATGAAATCTCTGCTCGCTGAAGATCAGTTCCTTGGCTTGCTGAAAGGTTAATTATTCATGTGATATGATTCCTTGGGGAATCTGGGTCAGGTGGCAAGAGGCCACGGCAGCATCTTCCTCCTCCTCCTCCTTTTTGAAGACCTTCCTACTCTCTCCTTGAAAGCGCCGTGGAGAGAGAGAGAGAAGCATCACCCTGAGCCCCAAGATCTCCAGCTTGTGCCTCACCTACATCGCTTCCTCACTTCTAGTTAGGTGCCTCGGAAGGTTCAGCCCCAAAACTACCTCCCCGTGGTCATGAATTTGCAGAGACACAGAGGGGCTGCTGGTGTACTTGAGCACAGTAGGGAAGCGTTCTGCAGCTCCTGCTTCCCTGAACGGCTGCAAACACCGTGGCTGCTGCTGAAGCCAAGCCACTGCAGGGCCAAGTGTGAATGCAGCTGTTCCACCAGCCCGAGAAGACCTCACCACCGCCCTCCTTAGCTCCATCTCAGTTTTGAAGACTTCGCATTGGTTGCAACCGGACCTGAGAAAATTAATGGATTATAAAACACCACCTCTTTTAATTATCTTACTCTCCCATGATGAAAATAGCTCCATTGGATTTTATCCTCGCTTTGTAAATACTATCTGCTTATTATTTAAAAAGGAATTGAAGTAAGCAGTAGGTTTTTTTTGTTTGTTTGTTTGTTTTTGTTTTTGTTTTTTGTGGTTTTTTTTAGACATGTGAGGGGAAAAAGTCAGGATTGCCTAAAACCTGAACCAGGAATAGCCACTGCCTGGTTTTGGTTTTGGTGACCAGTCTTCACACACCCCACACTATATGTGTGTGTGTGTATGTGTGTGTGTGTGTGTGTGTGTGTATGTGTGTGTGTGAGAGAGAGAAGGGGGGGAGGGAGAGAGAGAGAGAGACTTTACACGCTATTGCTTCATGTGGCCTGAGACAGTCGTGGACTCTTTGTTCCCCGTGTAGAGAGTTGGTAAGTGTATCTTACACGCTTCCCAACGACCTCCCTCCACAAGCACTGGATACCAAAACCTGAACGCTCCTCTCCACAAGTTCCTAGAGCTCACATCCAGCACAAAGAAGTGCTGTTACTCTCAGCCCTCCTCTGGCAGAGCCCCCTGACCACACCTCTGCAGTTGGGGTAACATGATTACAGTCTCTCTTCCAAATCCCAGCTAAAGTGGGCCTATAACACTCTCTACCCGAACTCTCCCGTGAACGCTTGGAAGTGGCCCACAGAGTCTTGCCTGATCCATCCCTCTTTGTCGTCTGCTCCTAGATTCCTTCTGTACTTCTGCTCTGGCCTGACTGCCCCCCCCCCCCCCCCCCCCCCCGCCATAGGCCCTCTGTACCTGCCATTCCCTCCGCTTGTTCTACCCTTGTGGGAGCCCGTTTTCGGGTTCCTTGTGGCTTTACCCAGCAGGTCCACATGGAGGATGGTTAGGACCACCGGGCTTGAGTGCAGGTGTCTGAGATGGTCTGCACTTGGCTGTGCTGGGGGAGGTCGTCTTTTGCTCCACCCCTTGGCGTCTCTATAAAAACCCTGGGGCAGAGACAGTTGGGGCCCATTTGGAAAAGGTTCCAGGCCCTCTCGAGGCTGCCCCGTATTTTCTATCTGTTTATCTCCGCAATAAATCCTTCTATCTAATATTTCCCCGCTGCTCACACTCAAGAAAACTCTGGGGAACTGTGGGGTTGGTGGGTAAACGCCACACATACCCTCCTTCTAGATATCCACAAGGCTCATTTTCTCCTTCAGCTCTCTACTTCATAGCCACCTTCATAGTGAAGCCTGATTGGCCACCTGAACCTGCCCCTCCCCCCAGCCTCCAGCTCACCTTTCTCTTCTCCAGCTTCCTTTCTGTGAGGATCAACCTTCATTACCAACTTGACTGGATTGAGAATCACCTGGAAAGCCCACTCTAAATGTGGGTGGCCCCGTCCCACTGGCTGCACCCCACAACCCGACTGCTATGCCGTCTTGAAATTTCCTCCACCTAACAGCTTGGCCCATTGCTTTTGAACTTAGCATCTCTCAAATGCTCAGGGTGTGGGCAGACTGCAGCCACATTCTTCGCCGGCTCACAGGGAGAAAGGAGAAATCCAGCTGAAAACACCAGCATGCATTTTTCTTTGCTTCCCGATGGACACGTGCAATGTGACCAGCCACCTCACCCTCCTGCCACCATGCCTTCTATCTTAGGGCTTTATGTTGCTGTGAAGAAAGACACCATGACCACGGCAACTCTTATAAATAAAAGCATTTCATTGTGGTGGCTCGCTTACAGTTTCAGAGGTTCAAGTCCATTATCATCAGGATGGGGAGCATGGCGGCAGGCAGGCAGTTGTGGTGCTGGAGCTGAGAGTGCTACATCTTGACTCAGAGACAACAGGAAGTCAACTGACTGTCATACTGAGTGAGGCTTGAGAAAAGAGACCTCAAAGCCCTCCCCTGCAGTGACACACTTCCTCCCACAAGGCCACACCTCCTACTAGTGCCCCGCCCTTTGGGGGCCATTTTCTTTCAAAGCACCACACCTTTGCTGCTGTGATGAACCATATCCCCTCAGACAAGCCAAAATAAAACCTTTCTTTCTTCAGCTGCTCCTTATCAGGTGTTTGGTCTCTACAGTGAAGAAAGTAATACACTTCCTGCACCCCTCACCTATTGCACCCTAGAAAACTCAGTGGTGGGGACTGGAGCATGCTCAGTAAGTCTGTACTGAATAGATTCATCTTGACTCTCTTGGTGGAGCAGGGATTCGAGACAGCCAGCAAGTGTCTGTTCATCAGCTGAGTTCCCTCCACAGCTGCACCTTCCAGATGGAAAAGTACAAGGGCCTTGCCTTGTAAGGGCGGCCACCTATCAGCGGCGCATGTTCTCTGCTCCCTGGACTCCAGGAGCAATGGACCACTTTTCTCCAGCTGAGTGTATAGCCCATATGTTTCAGCATGGTCCCCACACAGAACCTGGGAGTATCCCACCTTGGAAGGGTCTTGAATAGGCTCCTACACGAACTCGCCCAACTAAGACATTTCCTCCACAACCTTACATGGGCACAAGCCAGACAAAGTTTGGGATGGGCCTCAGCTGTGGACTGCTAGCTGGTAATCTCATACAGTAGGCTCACAGGGAGAAAGGAGAAATCCAGCTGAAAACACCAGCATGCATTTTTCTTTGCTTCCCGATGGACAGGTGCAATGTGACCAGCCACCTCACCCTCCTGCCACCATGCCTTCTATCTTAGGGCTTTTTGTTGCTGTGAAGAAAGACACCATGACCACGGCAACTCTTATAAATAAAGGTAGTAGGCAGCCTACCCTCTAGAACAGTGCCGCAGGTCATGACACACCCATCCATGGTGTTTTCCATGCTGGGCTTTGGTTTTGCTTTGGTCCACTCTTTTCTTGCTGTATCCCAGTTCCCTCCTTTAGAGTGGGAATGTCGACTGTGCATCAATGTATACTGAAAGTCCCAGTGGGACAGTGGCCCAGAAATACCAACCTTTTTCTTAGGGACCTGTGGAGGGGGTCATAGCAGAAAGCCATTGGCTTCTTTTTCTTGTAATTGGTATGCTTTGCTTCAGTACTGATCATTATTGTATAACTGGGGCTGTCTTTGGGAGTTTTGGGGGGTGTTTGTTTGTTTGTTTGTTTGTTTGTTTGTTTGTTGAGGCAGGGTTTCTCTGTGTAGCTTTGCGCCTTTCCTGGGTCTCCCTCTGTGGCCCAGGCTGGCCTCAAACTCACAGAGATCTGCCTGGCTCTGCCTCCCAAGTGCTGGGATTAAAGGCATGTGCCACCACCGCCACCCGGCTTGTTTTGCTTTTTTAACATTTGAGAGAGAAAGAGAGTTTGCACCTGTGACCTGGGCTATGCACGTGGAGGTCAGGGGACTTCTCCTTCAACCACATGAGTTCTAGAGAAGAAACTCAGGTCAGCAGTCTTTGTGGCAAATGCCTTTACCTGATGAGCCATCCTGCCAGCCTGGAGTCATCTTTAGAAGACTTATAATGATATATAGATATGGATAGAGGTAGAGATCGACATATGAAGATCCAACTTCCTTTGGACTTGAGCCTAGTTCTATATTTTAACCTGGGGAAAGAGGCAGCACTAGGGATGAAGTTGAGTAGACAAGAGCTTCCTTGTCCTTGCCTCGAGACCTTCCGACATCTGCCCAAAGAGTCTGTGAACACGCACATGGATAGACATGGACACACATACATAACACACATAAACACAGGGACACACACAGGTACATACACAGACACAAAGACACGGATACACAGAGACAGGCGTGTATGCACACATGCACAGTAGAAAAGAGAGAGAGAGGGAGGAAGAGAGAGCATTCACAACCCAGATGGCAGGAGTCTGAGTGCCAAGCTCTCTCTGGCAAAAGGCTGTCTGCCTCCTCCCCTCGCCGTGTCGAGGATCAGAAATACAGAGAACAAGAAATTTCTGAATGTTGCCCTTGACCTTGCTATTAGAACTCCATAGAAGCTCACACATAGTCTAGCTGCTCCCACGGCCAGCCCACCTGTCTTCCCAAAACTCTCCCTCTCCATGGCCTCCCTGGAAAAGGAAGGGCCAGCCCACTCCCAAGCTTTCAGTCACTGTCTTTCCGAGAGCAGCAGCCCAGACTTTGTCAACAGCAAGGGCGGGAAGGGGATGAGACTGGGCCACCCCACTGGGCTGAATCTTTGCCATCCAACAGGCAGATGGTACCCTTAGTCCCAGGAAGAAGTGGGTGGCCAAAGTGGACATCGGCTCCGCAAGCAATTCAGTACTCTCTTCTCCCGGGGGCTGAAAGAGACCATATCTGAAAAGAATGTGGAGGTGGGGACACTGCTGGAATTCTACCAGTTGTAGTATTTTAAAACCGTGGCTATGTCTTTTTGAACTACACAGACTAACGCTGGCGTTACACGGATCAAGGCTAGACATTACACATGAAACAGGCAATCTACAAAGTAAATATTAGGATGCCATTTTTATGCTGGTAATTAATTGGCACTCTGAGAGGTTAGAAACTAGCCGCTGGTAAAATGGCCTCTCCGTGAACCCTTTACATTCCGTTGATCTTGTATGGATGGACAAACAGATGGGCAGATGGCTAGATGGACAGATGAAGAGAAGTACAGACAGCTGAACTGCAGAGCCTTCCATCCAGCCAAACTAGTGCTATAGTGGCTAGTTAAATGAATGTATTAGACTGACTGGTAATTAGCATCTCAGCGGTTAAGAGAAGAGGCAGGAGGAGGAAGGGCCGCTATTATCAGAACACATACTCTGGAGCCAGGGCTGCAGGTTCAAACCTCAGATCCACCACAGAGCAGTTAAGTAACCTTGATCTAGTAATTTACCCTCTCTGTGTTCTGGTTTTCTCATTAAAATGAGGATACTATAACTGAAAGAGTTGTTGGGAACATGAAGTAAATTTTATAAAACAATATGCTTATCACTTACTGTGATGGTGAATGTTGCCAAGGTCACAGAATCTGACATCACCTAGGAGATGCCTGAAGACAGATCTGAGTCCCACCTGGGTGGGATTATTTGGCCTCTGAGCATGCCTGTGAGAGATTATAGGCTACTGTGGCAAGATTCTGTCTCAAAAAAAAAAAAAAGAGGGGGCTGGAGAGATTGCCCAGCAGTTAAGATTGCTTTTCCAAAAGACCCTGTTAAATCCCAGCACCCACATGGTGGTGGTTCATAACCCTCTGTAACTCCAGTTTTAGGAGCTCTGATGGCCAGGCACACACATGATACATAGACATAGACATACATGCAGGCAAAACACCTACACACATTGAATAAAATTTAAAGCCTGATGTGGTAGTGCATGCCTTAAATCCCAGCAAACAGGAGACAGAGGCAGGCAGATCTCTGTGATCTCAGGGGCAGCCTGATCTACATAGCAATTTTCAGGACTGCCAGGACTACATAGGAAGACCCTGCCTCAGATAAAGAAAGAAAATGGAAGGGATGTATTTGTTGGACTGGCTTACATGATTGGAGTTGCTCATTTCAATAATGTCATACATTCACACACTGGGAAGTAGAAAACATGGCAGCTACCATATCAGAAAGCCAGACATCTCCGCTGTCTGGTCTAGTGCTGAAGATCCCGAAGCTTCCTGGGAAGCCGCTGTGTTGAGTTCACATTGAAAGGCTGCAAGATCCAGAGTCTAATGTCTCCAGGAAGCAGCCATATATTCATTCAGTCAGACAGAAAGGGAGCCTGCAAGCCTACATACTGCCTTCCGCAAATATGCTTTCATCCACCAGACTGTTGGATGGGGCCTTTCTTCCCCAGTCTCTGTCCCATCTGTCAGTCCTGTCTGGAGACGTCCCTACAGACACACAAAAGTGTGTCACCAATCCTTGTTACCTCAATCAACAGTCAAGACCCAGCATCACAATGGAAAAGGATGGATCTGCCTCACTTTCAGAGTGCTTTGTGTATTTGTTGGATGGATGGATGGATGGATGGATGGATGGATGGATGAATAGATGGATGGATGGATGAATAGATGGATGGGTGGATGGATGCATGGATGGATGGATGAATAGATGGATGGGTGGATGGATGGATGAATAGATGGATGGATGCATGGATGGATGAATAGATGGATGGATGGATGAATAGATGAATGGATGGATTAATAGATGAATAGATGAATGGATGGATGGATGGATGGATGGATGGATGGATGGATGGATGGATGGATGGATGGATGACGTTATTGGTTATCACAGTACTCAAGGATCCTTATGCAAAGACAAGAAATTGCTCACAGAATTCAAAAGTTTATTTCTGAAGACCTTTTCAAAACAACCTGAAGTCCTAACCTGGAAACCTTTCAGAAATTGGCATTTCAAGATTTTAGAGCAAAACCAAAATGTATGCAGTAGAGCATCCTAAGAGTGAGTTCTACAGAAAACTGTATGAACGTTCTCCTGAGTGGGGTCAAGACTGAACAAGCCAGCACTGGCCCAGAGCACAGGCTGCTGCCAAATTTGTTTATTGCAAGCCAGAAGAGATGTTCTAAATGAACCTCAGAGCAGCAGGAAGAGGGGTGTGACCTTCTATAAGCCACAGTCTGGTTCCCCTCAGCCAACTTGCGGAAAGGACTTGGATTTGTGTCTCATCCACAATCACATGCATTTATTTGGAGATTGTTTCCACGAAACGTCCCATTTGGTTCTTAGAACAACCATGACCCAGAGAGAATGAGCCAGCACCCCAAGATCATTCATTAGTGAAGACAGAGCTCGGATTTTGCTCAAGTGTCTTAGATAGGCAGATTGCCAAGCCAGCAGGGCATTCTCAGTTTTCCTCCATCATCCTTCACTTCATACCTCTTAGTTCTTGTCATTTAATAATAATTATGAACATGATTTTCTTTATGTTTTCAAGACTGGAGCTAGTAAGTAGCAGAGACATCACATAACTTTTTTTTTTAATGTTTTCAAGACAGTGTTTCTCAGTGTAGCCCAGGCTGTCCTGGAACTCACTCTGTAGACCAGGCTGGTCTCAAACTCACAGAGATCCGCCTGCCCCTACCACCTGAGCGCTGGATTAAAGACATGCGTATGGACATTCACCACTTCTCCACAGAATGGACTCTACACCCTTCCAGAGCTCCAGAGGTACCACAGAGGCAGCGTCTCACAGGAGCAGCCACGCTCCATAGAGCAGCAGACTGGTGAGCAACCAAATCCTACTCCAAGTGTGGACAGAAGACATGAGGAGGTAACTCGGGGACCTCGGGTGCTTGCAGAAGTTAAATTTGGAGACCACAGGCTCTGTTCTGCAGAGGAGAGGCTTCTTCAGGTTGTCACAGCGCATCAACCCCATGGGACTCGAGACTTGATGAAGGAGCATCATGGGACTCGAGACTTGATGAAGGAGCATCACCCATGTGCGATGGTCCGTGTGCGATGCTTTGCACTGGGGCCATGTCACTGATGGGGAAGGTAAAGGACAGTATTCCAAGCTGTTGGGAGAATGCCAAGTGCTCATCAAAGCCAGAGCTTTGCTCTGGTCATTACGGGTAGGAAGTAGGAGATGTGAGGCTGAAAGCATTGTCAGGGGCTGATGCCAACAAGCACCAAGTGCCTCGCTGAGGGATGTGTGAGCTTACCCACAGCCCTGGGAACCCCTGGAGGCAATGGGATAGAAGTGGTCCACAGACACTTGAGACCTCGTCTGTCCTGGTTGTATCCATCTCCTGCCCTGTTCCAGGTACCTGGAATAGTATCTGGCACATCTGTGAAAGAAGGTGGGAGAAGGGAGGAAGGGATGGGAGGGAGGGAGATAGAGAAAGGAAGGGAGGACCTGAATAGATTTGCACTGGAGAATGTGCTCAAATGCAGAGGGCAGAGGGAAAGCAATCAGGACTCCCTGCTAGGAAGTCACAGCGGGAGCCCAGGTGAGAACCCGAAAGAGGAACCGCTGATGCCTGAGGAGGAGAAGACACGGCCAATTAGCAAGAAGAGTGGGCTCAGAGGGACATGTTGAGCAACGGAATACACTGTCCAGAGAGTTACCAGATGCTTCGCATGGACCCTTCTCACAGGGCTGCTTGGGAGGAGAAAGCTTTGGGACTTGGAGCTGCGTGATACTCCAGACCCACTCCCAGAGAAGGAGAATGGAGTTACATCCTCCAAGAATAGATGTTTGGATGGTGGAAGGAGGGGGGATGAACAAGGACCTCGTCACTACAGCCCCTGCAGGGATCTGACAACCTGAGGAAACTCCGCCCCACCCCCCTGCTCCGCCCCTCCCCTCAGGCATGCACCCCCTGCAGACAGCAGCAGCCTGAAGAAGGAAGGAAGCCAGGATACCAGGGAGCTACCACTGGTGGGCAGCAGCATGCAGTGCCAAGCTGGGGGCTGCTGGCAGCAGCTGAGGCATCAGGGAATACAGGAGACAGAGGAGGGCCCGTCTCGTCCCCCGTGGAAGGCTACAGGGAGGCTCTGCAGCAGCCTCAGAGCTAAGGCTTTCAGGACCGCGACGGATTCGTCATTTCATGGGGAGAAGAGCCAGGGAGACTCCTTTTCCCATGTATAGGCATGATGGCGACATCACTACCTTGGCGTTCCCTCTACCCTGCTCCAAAGACTTTGAAACAGTTGGGGAGCAGTCAGAGGAGCCTCCTGAAAGGAGATCTTTGTGTTTGTGTCCCAGCCCTGACCCCACACCACCAGCCTCTAGGGATGCAGATTCCGGTCCCTAAGCCCTGGCAGCGCCATGAGGTAGGCCAAAGGACATAAACACACCATTCCTTCTGAAAACCAGCCCAGTGGATGACAGTCTACAGTCCACAGCACTCTGAAAAACTGAAATATGCCCCCCTCGTGCTGGCTTCTCTCAAAGGGGCCATGCAGAGGTCAACAAGTTAACCCTCCCGTGGTGCAGAGAAAGCCCAGGATGAGGACTGGGCCCCTCACCCCAGAGACACAGCAGGAGCCCAGGAGCCCAAAGATAAACCCAAGGGGAAGGTCTCTGTAGGGCTGGTGTCATTCCTAAACAACCCACACCACGTGATCTGCTCACATAGCTCTGAGTTTGAAATGGACGTGTTTACTGTGCATGTACTGTGGGCCAGGCCCTGTACTAGATGATACCGACAATTCAAAGATGACTGTGGTGTGGTCTGTGCTTTCAAAGACTTCATAATTCACTGGGAAAGCTGAAAGGAAGCCAGAGCCTTAGAACGAGCAAGACCATTTTAAGGGGTTAGTGGGATCCAGTCACTTCCTCTCACCAGCACTTGGTGGGATGATTGGGGGGACTGGGGAGGTGTCTCAGGTCACTCTGTAGGTGAAGCGGGGGCTGGGGGGTT